TTTTTTTTTTTTTTTTTTTTTTTTTTTTTTTTTTTTTTTTTTTTTGGGGGGGGGTGAAACTGTCAGTTTTGTCCAGTGTAGGGGAGTCAGTTGGAGTTTTAACTGGGCATTCGTATAGTCAGTGCTGTGTATTTAGTTTGAAATTTAGGAAGTGTTTCCCCAGAGACTTCACATAGGTGGCACTTGTTGTTACTAGTGTTTTGAGCCTTGAGAGTGTTAATCCTTCCCTTATATAGGCTGGAAAGCAAGTTACTTAAAATGATCGTTCTCACTGGCCTTTGGTCTCCTTTAGGTCTATTGATTGCTAGCCCAAATAGAGTTGAGCTGCTGTGAGGAGTGTGGGGCCGTGTGTTTAAAAATCAGTAACCGCTGGTGTCTGTTCACGGTTGGCTTTGTTAGGATTTACTACTTGCATCTCTTCGGTATTTGTATTCAGTGAGCAGTTGCAAGTGCTTACATATAAAGAATTACGTTTCAAGATAGCATTTAAGGGGTTTTTTCTCTTAATCTGCATGTTATATTGTACATGATAAATAGAAGGAAAGCACTGGAGATTTAAGAGGATGAGAGGTTTGAGGCAACCACTTGAGCTTCAACTTAGTAATGCAAATCTGGCGTTAAGTGACCTTATTGATGTTTGCTCAAAGTAGCTTCCTTTCGGTACAAATGACTGAGCTTTGTTACCGCTATTGTACAGGTAATGTACTGTCCCTTTAGAGATTGCCTTTGTATCCCTGATGCAACCTCTCTTTGCTTTAACAGAGAGTGCCTGCAGAAATGCCTGGGGCTAAGATAGATCCAGTCCTTTGCCTGACTCGATCTTTTGTCAGCAAAGAAGCGAGAGGATAGGGCAGGCAAAAACATGTGCCTCTTGCTGTGTCCTAGCTCTTGGAAATTTGAGGTCTTGGCTATTGGTGAATGATGTTCAAGTGGAAATCTTGATGCCAGAGAATGTAGGACATGACAGCGTGTCTGAAAGGGTCCTTACCGCTTCTCTGACTTCACCTTGAGGAGATGTGGCAAGTTACTGTTGCAAGTTTAGGGTGCAAGGGGGGTGGCAGGATTTTAAGCACCACCAGCACGGTGGTGCAAATACTGCTAAGTACCCGGGTCTTATGAGATAGTATTGTATAATAAACAGTGCCATCTTCTGGGAGGAGTCGGAACGATGACTTAAAGTGGTTTGGTTGGGTTTTCGTTTGGGTTGGATTTTTTCTATCTTATAAGTGCTTTAAAAATCAAAGTACCAAAAGTCAAAAGTTAATGTCTGGTAATGCAAGTCCACATCTTACATCTCTGATTTTTTACTGACACAGTCTTTAAGGAAAAGTTTTAAGCAGTGTTTTGGGGTCAGTTTGGAAGAAGAGAAGTTTATCAGCAGCTGAGCAGTATTCCAGAGAAGTAAATCTCAAAAATAAAAGTCTTGGTTTGCTTTGTTTGATGAAGTCCATTATTGTTTTCATAAACATATTTTGTAAAACCTAGGTAATTGCAGCATCTTTTTTTCATAGAAAGGAATAGTGACCTACAGGAAAACGTTAAAGATCCAAAGTAAGAATAATTACTTGGACTTATAGCTCCTTCTTTTGGGCATGTCAGAAGGGTAAAAATAATTTCTGTCTAAATAGTTATATTGGGAAATAGTTATATTGGGAAACACTCACTGTGGTGCAAAATCTGGGATTAGAGTTACTAAAATTATCCCATCAAGTGGAATGTAAGATTCAGCATTTACTGAGACTTATTAAGGGTGTAGATCAATCACCTGAAGTCTTATTTGGAGGAAGTGAGCAATTTTAGTAACATTAACGGAACTGTATGGGAGAGGCAGCTGACATTGTGAGGAAGTTTTCTTGTTGCACACTTTCAAATAAATAAATACATGAACACAAACAAAAAGCCAATAACAGTGTAACTGTTATGGGGGGAGGGGAAAAGATGAATCAATGGTAAAAAGAAAATCTTTATTGCTAAAATAATTAGATAAGGTATATCCCGAATGACAAGAATTTGTCAGGTCTGGATAGAGAGATAGATTTGGAATTGTTTTTATTGTGTCATGATTGCCTAAGTAATTTATCAGCAAAGATGCAGTGAAATAAGAGTTTCTTTTAAAAATAGAAGATAAAATTTTGCATTTAAAATGTAACTGTTCTGAGTATGTCATGTTAAGCTTGCTAGAATCGGTATATTTTGTATTCCAGAGGGTCTCATTTTAATGGCTGTGGAGTCTGAGGTTTCTGAATAGTACAGTACTTAACCTTACAATTAATTTGTAGCTAAAGTGGTAATTGAATGTGCATTTACTTTTTCAGTATTAGTGCCAGCTTGGTCTGTCATACAGTAATATATAAAGAAAATGTGTGATTCTTGGTACATTCTGAATGTTTAACAACAGCGTAAATTATTACTGTTTGGTAATCTAGGTGTTGATGCAAGTCCTCAGTATTATAGTTAGGACTTTCCATTTCTGACATCTGAAAGAAATTTGGTGTTGACCTGTCTCACCATTTTATGTTGTTGATAGAAATCAGCTGTTAAAATTTCCATTGCAAGGTGTGGTGGCCCTTGAACACACCTCACAATAAGTACTGTATTTGCTTAGATAAAATTTGAAAACTATTTTTGTCTTGTAATTTAGTATATTCCTTATCCTTAGTTTGGCAGTAAAGTATGCATGATAGTACTTTGCTGCAAACTAACCTGAAAATACCTTTCCCTATACATTTGGAACATTGCTATGAGTTAGTTATGCTAACTCATAACTACTTTGAGATGACATTTCACTGATGCTGTACTTTAGTAGACACAGCTATTGGTGGTGCCCTTTTTTACGGAACACTACTTAATATTAATGCAACCTGCCTGATAGCCATGGAGTGGGTAACTTCAGGGAAGTAATTTATATTGAAGAAAAAAAACAGGAATAATGTATGCTGTGTAAATAATGGTTATATCCTCATCAGAATACATCTACATGTGCTAGAATTAGGAATTCAGCCTTTCGACATTTGTCAATATCCTGTCTGGAAAGCTGTTCGAAGTTTGTTGTTTATTTTTGTTTGCTCCACCTCCCTAGTAGTCAACTATAGTGGAGCAGGTTACAATAAATTGCAGTGCTTAAAATCTGTGATGCCTATTCTTCCTCTGGCCCAATAATACCATTTTTTAAAAGATACCTTTAGGAGTACACAAACACGTATTTGAGGAGAAATTTCCCTAAACAATTTCTGTCAAACACAACTTACATTTAACCCTATTTTTATAATTTATGTTATGAAGCTTTCTTTTCCAAAACTCTTTTAAACACGTTTGTCAACATGACTTAATGTTGACAACGGGTAACTTGCCCTTAATTTCAAGGAAAAGTTAGCAAAGCTTGCTGTTTTTTGTAAGCAGGTATTTTGATTGAAGGCGTTTTATTCTAGGTCCCTTAGATCTTGTGCACTAGTGAATTCATAATCCTGAATTCTTCCTATCTTTTCATTTGCAGGCAGAAGGAGAAGACAGCCTTAAAAAGATGCAGCTGATGGAGCTTGCAATTCTGAATGGCACCTACAGAGATGCCAACATCAAATCACGTAAGCATGTCATAAGCTCAAGGGTCAATGCCATAGTAATGTTTGCAGGTTTTGATTCTTAGAGATACTGTTTGGAAAATGTACAGTGGCAGCTATGTTGGAGAATTGGAAGGCAGTAAAAACCCAACAAAACAGTAGGTAGCTGTTGGAAAACATCTTTTGGTGATAAGTTATGTCAGTTTGGAGGATTTTTGTTTGTCGCCCTCCTCCTCCCCCCTCCCCCCCCCTTTTTTTAGGCAGTATGTAGTATGTCTAGGTTGAAATATTTACAAATACATAGTGTAACAAATCTCAGCCCTTTAGCCAGATTTTCCTGTTGTACAATTTTTTTTTCCCTAATGCATCCTTAAGGACAATAGACTTCTTTTCAATTTTAGAGATTTAATTCTAAAATGTTACAGAGGTTGAGGATACTGTGAATACATTTTTCTGTATTATATTCCTTCCTTTCATCTTGCTTGCATGCGTACCCCAAATGTTATGTTTTACCAACAATTCATCAACTGATTTCACAGCTGAGTTCACAGGGATCAGTGATGTAACAAGCCATTTTTACGATTACTTCCATTACATTTGTGTGAAAATGCTTTTGCAAACGCATGTAGGCACAAGTTTACACTTGAAAATTAATTACACGCACCTACTAATGAAAGCATATACCTATTACGTGTGATACAAATTATTTTCTCTAGTTGAAAATCTAATTTCTCCTTCTGAAAATGTAGCTCCTTTTCCAAATTCAATTTTTGCTGTAACTGTGATACAGATGTCAAATGTAAGCACAGTTAAACCAGTCTTTTCACTAAGGGCCTACTGATATTTGCAAATTTGTTTTCTCCACACAGTCACCATTTCAATGTTGAATATGTTCAAAGATTGGAATGTAGTTAGGTCAATTTGAGAGTGCTTACACCAGTGTAATTGATCTGATTTGAAAAGAGACATAAGGAAGGGCTTTTACCATATTTACCACTACAATGGTAATGGTAAATCTTTCAGCCCTAATGAACACTATAATATTTAAAGCTAGATCAGTTTTAAATATATGTTAGTCTCTAAATTTATGAGTAAAATAGCTTTCAGAATAGCTTAAATTGATGTAAACTGTTGCATAGAAACCTCTGTATTAATTTGAACAACTTCTTTGTCTGATCTGTTCTCATTGGTTTATTTTATCAGTGTAAGCAGGAAGATAGAATTATTATTTTTTGACTAGAGGTTTCCACACTAATATTTGTTTTTTCATAGTAAGACGATTTCACTCTTTGTATTTCAATTTTACTGAAAAGTTGAACATGTAGAAGCCATACTATTTTATTTTTGTTCAAGAAAGGAAAAGTTTTGAGGGTTTTTTGAATTATCGGAGCACTTTTGTTTAAAAAATAATAAAAAAACATCTGAAAAACTTTTTACCACATTTCTCTTTTCAGGCCACCCATAAGTTAATTAAACCGATGTAGATCAACAGTAGTGCACAGAAATCCATAAATTATAACCCTTTAGCTTGACTGTTACCAGCAGATGTGTTAGTGTTGAAGTTGTTGTTCATCTGGTGTGCCAACAGGCTTCAGATAACACTTAATGAAACATGTTAGCACCACTTAAAAAAACCAAACAAAGCCACCACAAACAAACAAACAAAACCCACCAAAACAAACAAACAAACAAAATCTATTTTCTTTAAATTAAGCAAGGCTGCAGTAAACTTCTAGTACAAAGGAAGTATCTTTTTTTGTGATATTTGATATGGAAATCACATTTGAGTCTATTTTATTCATGCTAGAGTAGGAGAGGATTGATTGATTCATGTTTCTGGTCATCTTTTGCTTCACTGATCCTGGAAATTGGAATTGTATATAGGTTTAAATACAGTTTTAAGTCATATAAAAACTGTAGACTCATACAGCAGCTCTGCATAACTGAGTGTCTGTGGACTCTGTAGGTGCACTAAATTTTGTACTCTTTGTATTTGTGACAGTATTTCCCTTGTATTTCCTGCATGCATCTCAGTCTCATGCAGTCTTGATAGCATAAATGAAGAAACGTGGTCTAAATGGAGCTTTCGTGCTGTGTAACCTGTTTGAGAAATCTACCTCACTGTTTTACAATGGCTTTTTTATTTTGCATGTTCATACTTAATCACACTGGAAAATGGAAAGCTGTTTGCATTTGAATGGTGTGCTTTGGCACTGTGTGATCAGCGCATGTACTAATGATTTCCTTTTATTTTTCTTCTTTCCTACTTTTTCCCCTTTTTCCCATTCTTTCCACGTTTTGTACTGCTATCTCCATACTTTCCTCTGAATTTCTTTGCTTACTGTAGCAGCCCTTGCCTTTTCTCTTGCAGCAACAGCCCAGGCTCCAAGGATTATTACTGGGCCTGCGCCTGTTCTCCCACCAGCTGCCCTGCGTACCCCTACGCCAGCTGGCCCTACCATAATGCCTTTGATCAGACAAATACAAACCGCTGTCATGCCAAACGGAACTCCTCATCCCACTGCTGCAATAGTTCCACCTGGACCCGAAGCCGGTTTAATTTACACACCATATGAATACCCCTACACGCTGGCACCAGCTACATCAATCCTTGAGTATCCTATTGAACCTAGTGGTGTATTAGGTAAGATCTTTGTACTGGATGACTGACGAATGTTTTGCTTATGCTTTTATGGTATTTGCATTGTAGAGGTCATGGAGCTCAAAGAAACAGATTCGAAGCAACAAACTTAACTTGGGTGTATCAAAACTGCCTAGGAGAGCTGCTCAAATGGTGCAGCTCTTGAACATTTCAAACATATTTTGCATTCTTGAATGTGTGTGTTTATTTATATTAATAAGATTACTGAAAAAAAAATCTTGATGTTTGTATAACATTAGATGGTGGATACATAGGCAAAAAAAGCTAAATAGACGTCTGTTGCCTGTCGTTTGGGCTGCCATAAATACAAGATTTATTTGTATTCTCTTTAACATAAATTAATGTCCAGCAATCTTTGGAAGATTCTTATTTTGCTTTATTGTTTTAGTAGCAAAAATGGATGGAGAGGAAAGGTCTTTTCTCAGTTGGAGTTTTTGCTGCTTTATTTAAACTGATAAATCTTTCCTCAGTGTCAGAAAGCTGTAAATCATTTTGTGAGCAGAAAATAATTTCAGTGAATGAATATGAAACAAACCAAGTTCTGACCAAAGTATGATAAAATTAGCAGCTCTACTGATGGCTTCTTTTATATACATTGCATTGAAATGCCCATCATTCCTAATATTTCAGACCACTGACTTGGTTTGTGAAGGCAAGAATGATAAAGCAGCCATGAAAATTCAGTTAACTGGTCAATATGGAGCAAGCAGTTCCCATAGTTTCTTCCTTCCCTACCCTCTACAGAATCTAAATAATTTTTTTCCCTTCAGTTTGTTCTGAATTGCATATGACCTTGGTGCTGCATAATGTTGATTTTATAGGACTTTGATCTTAGTTTGTTCAGTCGCAGTTATTGATTTACACAAATTCTAAACATCTCTAATGAAGACTGGACAATAAGGTTCAAAGTCAATATTTTGTTGAAAATATTGCAAAAAATCAGTGTTTCACGTGACAGATGCTTGGTGAGTTATCTGTATGTGTGCATGTTTCCATATTATATTTTATATGTATATATTGCATATAATATATATCCTGTCTTGCAGGATTAGTGAATCAATAATAAAAATTCTAGTAGGACAGAAGTATGCAGTAGGTCTGCCTTTGAGGAGTTTATGGTTGTTGTCAGTTACCCCATAGCCAAAATTCAGTGAGCATATGATAATTTTAGAGTTTATTAATTTCCCACAAACATGTAAATATTCTCCCTAGCTTCTCTACCCCCAATCTGTGAGTCCGTTTGTGAAACATCCTGGGGAAAAGTCACAGTTACAGAGTTCAGCAGAGTAGCTGTCAGCTGTTGGGTAGGAGCAAACCCCTCTCCTGCATGCAGTGAATAGCACGTAAAGAAATACATCATTCCAGAGTAGTAGTTTAATACAGTGCAGGGAACTTGGATTTCTCACAGGATTTTCTATGAAGAGAGAGGAGGGGAAAATCGCTCCTAAAATGGTATCTGAAACCATTGCATACTCTTGGGCTTAGCTGTGTGAGGTGGATTTACCAAAATAGATCTCATTAAAAAATGTTACTTAAAAAAGGAAAAGGGGGGAGGGGGGATACCCCCACCCTCCCACTGAAGTTGCATATAATCAATAACTCTTAATACATCTGCTCTATTGTCTGAGCAATTGTATAGAGTTAATTGAATAAATTAGTTTTTAATTGAGTTTTATTTTGTTACACCCTCATTCTCATTTATAGTATTTTGTCCATTTTCGTGGTGGACCTTTAAGATGTCTTAAAATAATTCTGTTAAAAATGGCAGAGAAATGCATCCCTATCAATATTTTGGGGGATATTGGTGTTGGGATCAAATTTTAGTTGGTGACTAACTTTTAATTCCCTTCCTTTTATCTTCAGGTATGGCTTTCCCAACGAAAGGCTAAGAATTCAAGAACGGTCTTAACTGATCCTTCATCAGATCTGAATTTTAACAAATGCTTAGTTTCAGCAGCCTTGAAAAAAGCTTGGCCTAGCAGTCAGTGACTTACTTGCACTTTTTTGCACATAGATTTAAAATAAAATAGTGCTATTAATTTGGATTAGGTCCTATTATTACAGAGTAGCTGTAATTTATGGGTGTATAGTAGTATACTGACTGCTAAGTGTTCTATATAGTGTTTGCTTTACTAATCACCTAATTCATTGCAGTTCATACTTATTGACTTAAAGGTTAAAAATCACAATTGTAGGCTTGAAGAATTGCTTTAAAACTTTTTTTTTTTTGTGGTAGAACTGGAAGTGATCTTAAGGTTAGCAAATAATTGTCAGTATTAAAAGATGGCATTATTTAAAATAGTCCTGCTGCAAGAAAGGCACTTCAGTGAATATGTGACTAGTAAAGCTTAAATGTGCTTGGGTCTAATAGATTTCATGAAATACTGTAATTTTGGGATTGTAAATGAATGGATTAAACAGGTTAAGGCCAGGATGTTTAAAATAAATGCAATATTAATCTGCACAGATAAACTTCTTTTTAAGATTAAGATTTGAAACTACTGTGCCTTAACTTGTTGCTTTTCTTAAAATGAACTTCTGTAGTTAATGATCATTTAAATCCATTTTGATAAACCTGCTGTTAATGTTTTCTGTGAATGTTTTCTAACTTTGTCTTGGTAATTGCAATTTAACTAGGTGCGGTGGCTACTAAAGTTCGAAGGCACGATATGCGTGTCCATCCTTACCAAAGGATTGTGACCGCAGACCGAGGTTAGTTTAGTTCTGCAGTTCTTGTTTGTAAGAAGTGCTTTGAGTGTACATGAGATTTGCAACACCACAGCTGGTTAACCAAATACCCTATTTTGACCCATTCATTATTTTTCTCCAAAATCTGAACAGTTAATATTTTAAAGCTTTGGGAATGCTGGCGGTTTTTAAAAAAAAATAAAAAATAAAAAAATTGTAAACTTGGCTTTCCCAGCTAAATTAAATATATATACTTTGATATATTTAATAGAAATGCTATAGCTGATACAGTTTTAAAAATGAAAGATCCATCTGCATCAGAAAACGCTATGAAATCAGTGCTGCAATACTTAATTTGGTCATGTTCCCTTCCTCCTTCCCCGTCTCCCCCCAATTCGTTCTTTTTATTGGTATGGAAATATCAGATTGGTGTTGCAAAATAAAATGAATGGATGGTTGCTTAATGAGAAAGAAGTAAAGGAATAAATGCCTCCTGTCTGTGTCTGGAGAAATCTGAAGATTTAGATTCCTTTATTTTCCAATAAACTTTTGAGCCACTGTACTGTATATTATGAGGAGGATGCATGTTCTCAGATACCTAACTGAATTCAGAAAGGTAAGGGCTGTGAAGATAACTTCAAAAGTTGTTTGAATTAGTAAGGGTAGGAGAAGGGAGGGTGTTTTGGTGTTTTTGGTGGTTTTTTTTTTGTTGTTGTAGGGTTGTTTTTTTTTTCCAAAATCTATTTCTTGGTATTTTCCTTTTGCTGCTAAAATGTGTAACCTGAAGGAGAAGCAACTTTTGAAGTCCTGTTGGTGAGATGACATCCAGTATTTGGGCATCTCTCTTTAACTCTTAAATGGAAAGTAAATCTTCATTTTTCTCCTGTTCCTCAAGTGTCATGCCTTTGGACCCCTGAATGAAGTATTTAAGCTTATTGAGAAAACTGATATTTTCGGTTTATTGACATTGACTAGGAAGTAGTGTGAGGGATGAATTCTTACCCCATCCCTGCTGTGGGTTTCGGCAAGTAATGTAATCTCTCTGTGTATGTTTTCCCATGAGTAAAATAAGGATAATAATACTTCCCTACCTCACAGGGGTGTTGTGGGGGTTCTTGCTTTGTACAGGGCTTTGAGGATGCAAAGCATTACGTGCCAAGTATTATTATTCTGCTCTCATCCAAATCAATGTTGTGCAGGTTTCCATGATACTGTAATATTCAAAAGTCAAATTCCAGTAACAAATCTGACATCTCCTAACATTGACTACACTTCACTTCTCACAACCTTCCATAAATTGGCTTCAGGAAAAAATACAGATTTTGGTCAATTCAGTAAAAGGGGCCCTCCTGGATATTTGCTGTATTTATGTAACACTTTCATATGATCTTAGTCTTTACAGAAAGTGTAAAGCTGATAAAAGACACTACTTTAGATTTCTATAAGATTGTTTATATCACTGCACACTATTTGCAGCCCATTGGCTTGTTCTCATTTCTTGAGAACTCTTCAGTCGGGCAACAGGGTATAATCAGTAGAAAATCATAGCCCATGTTTACAAAAAAAAAAAAGAGGGTAAAAAAAGAAACAGGCTTTAATATTTTCTAATTTTTTCTATCACATTCAAGAGAAACAGTTAGTAAGGTTGTCTTTCAAGGTTTGACCTAATGTTGCAGAAATCATTTTTTCCTCATGGTCTTTCATGATCTGCAGTGGTAGTTTCAGGTGACAGGTGAGGATACTTTTTTGTTTCATTAGATATTTGCCTGAGATAGCTAGTAAATATAGATAATAACAGGCTTGGGGGGAAGTTAGGGATTGCTGTCAGGGAGAAGATACCAATTTGTAGTTTTAAGTTCATCATTTTAATGTTTACTGAACATAAATTTTAAATACTTTTTGAAGGGCCTAGATGTTTTATCTGGGTCATATAAAAGTAATTGAAATTAATTATTGGTATCATTTCACCTTCTTTTAAAATACAGCCTTTTTCTGACAGAACAGCATTTATCTCTAGCAAAGTGGAAACACACTGTGTTAAGTAGATAAATAAATATCTTACCTCCTGTTGAATGAGTCATGCATACATCTCTCTTATGAAAACCATATCGATATTTCAGGAGAGCCGTATTTGAAAGTCTTACCTAAGTAATGTCAGTGTGTATTGAGAAACACAAAGTTAATTTTACAACCAAACTTCATTGTATTTTGAATTTGAAATCCAAGGTTGCCACTGCACAGATTTAAAAGTTTCACTAAATGTTTTGGAGAGAACTTTGTTCAGCAATAAAAATTTCCATATTGTAGAATTAAAATGCTATCAGTATTTACCATATTCACCTATTTGATTGTTCTGTCACCAAGATAATTCTATAGCTATGGCCTATGAAAAACAATGTCAGCAAACCGAAATACTTTTTTTTTTTTCAATGAGGAAAATTTTTTTATATAGTTAAATATCACTAAATCTAGTTTTGCATTCATTGGGTCTAAAGTTGGGGTTTTTTTAATTCTAATTTGACTTTCAGATGACTTTGTTGTACTACTGCATTCACTTTTTAAGTAGTTTTTTATTCGTTGCATAATTTTGTTGTTTTGTTGGTTTTGTTTTGGTTTTTGGTTTTTTGTTTGTTTTTGTTTTTTCCAGAAATAAGCACTGCATTTAAAGCAAGACTCCCCAAATGTGTAAATGTTTTACAACTAAGCATTTAGAATTGGTGAAGGGTTGGAAAATATAGCTCATTTTAACTCAGAATAAACTCCCAATTTATAAATAATACAAAATTGAATTTGATGCATATAACAGAGAGACTGACTGATTTAATTGTAATAAACTGTAAATGGTGTTGCACAGTTGACAAACCTGTGTGTACTGTAGAAGGCCAGAGACTTGGCAGAGGATGTATCACAGGTGTACTGGTATTTTTTAAAAGTAGCTTGCTTTGATTTTAAACTCCACAAGAAATAATAATGCTGAGAATTTTCTTGAATTTATCCAAATCAATTGTCACATAATTTATGTATAAATTTTAATACCATTTAATCAAAATTGTAATCAGTATCAATATGCTTTAAGAATCTGTTTCTAGTATACCTGTGAAGTGGTAAGATTGTGCCACATGACATTTTTTTTTTTTTCTTTTTGAAACGGCTGTTTTAATTTAAACAAATCCCGCTAAGCATGATTCTTAAAAAAAAAATTCAGGGAGTTGTGTTTTGGTCTCATTTATGTTACAGTAGTAGTTTTTGGTAGTGTTATGAACTGTATCCTAAATGATAGGCCATTTTTATTATGTGAAAGTAAATGAACCCACATGAAAGATTGCTAAATCAGTGGTATCTGTGAATATTACACCTACTGGACTTCATTTTATATAATGGCACAAATCTGACTTTGCACTGAATACCTTTCTCACTTTCATCTCCTCTGCCTTAGTCAAAATGGCAACAGTACAAAAACTTTTATCAACCTCAGAATTTATTAGCTATAATTAAGCTGTTGAATGAGTCTTAAAAAAAAAATCATACTACTGTTAAGTGGACCAAGTTTGGTGAAGGAGAATGCGAGAGAATGATTAAAGAAGGAATAGCTCAAGAACATTGGGAATGATAACTTTCCACTTGAGAACTTTTTTATGTTTTACTGTAATTTGTTTGTGTTTTGGGGTTTTATTTTTTGTTTTGTTGGGGTTTTGTTTTTTGGGGGGGGTTTTTTTTGCAAAAGAAAATAGTATTTACAGGTGGCTTCTTTTAAAATATAAAAATATAAAGCAGGAATGTATATGAAATGTCAGATTTTATTGTATTTGCAGAGTATTAGCTTTGAAAATGAATAAAGAGAGCTGTTTGTAGTTTTAAAATGCCTTATTAGTATCAATTAGATATTTTCTCTATTTTTTCATGTACTTAGAGCTTTTTAAGTATAGACTTTAAAATGGCAGGACTTTTACAGTGTTTACATGCAAGTGCATTTTATAAGTGTCCTATATGTGTAAAATAGTATTTCAAACAGGAAAATGCTGGCTATAGTAGCAGGCTGAGCGTTTTCCTGGTTCCCACGATGATGCCTACGTTGCTAGACTACAGTTTAGTACTGCTTTGTATCATGAGGCCAAGAAATTCCATGTTGTTTGTAAATAGAATAAATGAAAGGCAATAAAAAATTTATTGAACAAAAACCCTTTGTTTGGCCCGTAGTTTGTTGAACCAAATTGTTTCTCTTAAGTCCAGAATTCCTCAGATGACTCCATTCTTTTAACAACCAGTTATTAATAATCACATCCATCATTAATAGTTGCTTTAATGCTTGCACCTGGGGAAGTACTAATGCTTAATAGCAGTCAGATACTGATGCTGTGCACTGACTGTTGTTCCAGAAATCTTCTACCGAGTTCAAAAACTGTTCATCGTTTTTTGTTTTCCAATTTCCTTCATCGACTGCTACTAACCATTAGTCGTTAGTCATATTTTATCTCTATTTCTCCTGTTAACCGGTTTTGTGGGAGTGGGCTTCTCCTTCACGTGTCCAAATCATGATGGAGGGCTGTCATGATTTTATTGCATTCTGTAGATGGTGTCGATCAGTATGTCAGAATTAAACATGCTTGTTTTTTTTATTAGTTGTGATTAGTTTTCATGTTGTCATTAAGCCGTCACTAGCTGGAACTAATCTCTTCTCTATCTTTTCTTTCTTTTTTTTGTTTTGTTTTTTTTTTTGTTTCTAACCACCCAGCCGCCACCGGCAACTAACCTATGACCTTCTGACCTCTGAACTCTTCACCCAATGATGACCTGACCATGCCTGCCTGCTGATCAGTTAACTGGTAAACGCCTTTGCTTGCCTGTCTTCAGTGCAGCGAGCTGGGGCACTTGTCCGTTCGTCTTACCATCTAACAAAACAGACAAAGAAATTGTTGTCCTCCAACTCCGCTTTTTGTTGTTCTCCTGTTTGGGTGAAAGTGGTTCTAGAACCTGCACTGAATAGTAGTAAAGCAATAAGGTCCAACTCATCCCTCCGCACTGATCATCCTCTAGTGTCCTGCCCCAAGCGAACGGTAAGGAGGCCTCGCACGAGATGGAGACAGATGTCCCTTAACTACCCGATGACAGAGGCAGTTACTGTGAGAGACTTCTAGGAATATTTTTCTTCTCAGAAAAAAAAAAAAAAAAAAAAAAGTCAAAGCTCTCTCTGAATGTACTGTGTGATGATGCATCATGCATGAACCTTTGGTCAGGGATGTCATTGGGGAAGGGATTCTAAAAAGTATTCAAAATTTGATACGCCGTTTAGTCACTACCAGTGCCCTCAAAGGGCAGATGTTGCAGCCTTTTTTCTATTGCCTGCCAAATTGGACGTTTTAAAGGAAAGTGTGCCATGAAATGCAGATTATGATGACTTTTCAGAACTACATTAATGCAGAGGACAAAACAGCAACACTATTAAAGTGAAATACAAGTTTAAATTGTTTTAACCATATTTTAATCTCCTTGGAAGATTACATGAGAACAAGGTACATGCATTATGTGTCACATTACTGGGCAAACTGTTCAAATATTTTTTTTAAACCTCCCTGTATAGAAAAAAATTCATTAAGGATGTAAAAGCCATGCTTGCCTATTTGCTGTATACATGTAATGAAATTGTAGATAAAGTGTAGTGCATTGAAACAAAATGAACAAAAAAGTAGATACTTTTACTATACAAGGGTGCTGGTGCAGAAAAAAAAAATATATTTTTGGAAATGTAGCATTTTATACTTTCAAGTGTTATAAAAAAAGAAAAAAAGAACAAAGAAACCCTTTATTTCATTAAATGATTTTTTCTGGTGGTTGTCAAGAAACAAAAGACCAAAAGAGCCTTTTAGTCTTTCTTTTTTATTTTTTAAGTATTGGAATAAGTCTAAAGAAAAGGAAGTGCCTTATTTTCTTCATGGTCATTTAGTCAAATGTCTTGTATAATCAATCAGCTTCTCCCTCAGACAAGTTACTGCATGCCACTCAGACGCCCAGTATGTGAAAGAAGCTGTGAGGGAAGACAAATGATGAGTTGACCATATTAATTACCTGATTTTTGCCATACTAGTGTGATGTGACTTTGCCAAAATCTCATTATGTGAAATATTTGCTAAGTTTCTGTCAAACCAGCCCATTATTATTTCAGCCACTCTTACTTTTTAAATCATAGCAAATGCCATACTTGTGCAACGTAAACCAAAGGGTTCTGTGATACGGACTGTCTCATGCTAAAGGAGATTATTAGCTGACAAATGTTTGTAGAGCTGGAAGTATGTCAGTTTTGTTCAGGGATGAAGAGGAGTTTTCTTGATTTTGGTTCAAATAAATATACATCAACTATAATAGGCTTCGGCATCACCCAGAAAACGGATGTTCTGTGAATAATGAAACTGAAAGTGCTTGGCTAGTTTTCAGTTAGTTACTGAACATGTCCCCAGTTTTCACAAACAGCTCCTGCAGTGGCAAACAGCATGGAAGTTATTTATTTTTCAGCTTGTCTTTGACTATTGTTAGATCTTCCCTGTTGGCTTTTCTTCAAAAGATAAGCAGGAGAGGGACATCAGCTAGTTGTTTGAAGTCCAGCTAAACTTTATTTTTAACCTTTGTTTCCACATGAGGTTCAAATAGCTGGGCAATTGCAAGAGCTGAAGCTGTTGAACGCACAGTATTTTATTCTGAAAACATTAAGTATTACTTTGTGGGGCTCAGTACTAAACTTGGCAAATATCAGGTGATAATTTTAGTCCCCTCCTGTCAACTTATTCTCCTCCTGCAAATCTTCACAGCTTCCAAATGAAAGGTCAATAGTAAGCTAAGAGGGCTTACATTTTTAAGCACCTGCATGGTGACCTCATCTAACATCTTGTCTCACCTGGAAATAATTATCAGTTTATTTACTATGCAATAGACATTCATCCTTTCGTATTCAGCTAGATTTTTGTTTATTGTGCCACCAGCTTTGTCTTCCTGTTACACATACAGTTGTGTTGGATTTATTTACAGTATATGCTGTGCCATTTTGGTTTTATTTTGGTTGGTTGGTTGAATAAACTTGCGACACTCGAACATTTGAAGAGAGATTTGCTAAAACTATACCAGTATTTGATCCAGTTTCATCTCAACTGTGATAAAACCTGGACATTTTAGACATTTATCAAAGGTCTTTTACTGGGGGGGGAGGGGAAGTGTATGGAATAGATGTGTGACATGTGAAAGTAATGTTTGCTCTGAACAAACTTCTGAAAACTTAGTTGACAAAATTTTGGATCAACTTTAAAAAAAGCATGACTTTTGAAATCTCTGAATGCCTTGGTTCTCAGTATTATCATTCTTTAATGACTTTTTTCTTTATTAAAATAAGTAGTTTTAAGACTTCTTTCTGACAGTATTATGTAATTTTTTTAGAGTGGGTAGATGGGAGTGTCGCTTGTATGTAACCGTACAGATGACATGTATTTGTCTATTCTTTATTATCTTAGTAGTTTCATGCTATGTATGTACCATAACCAACCTATTGCCTATGAGAAACATGTAAGATAATGTATTTACAGCCATTGTTACAAGTTTATAATGTATTTTTCTATCTTGTTTTATATGTATGTTATATAACATTCAAAAGAATTTTTTTCCTGATTGAGAAAAAAGGATACAAAATGCAAAACCCACAATTTTGATAACTGAAAAATTGCCAATTGTTTTGCAGTACTTTATTATATTGGGAGTGTTGTCTTTCTTGGGCTTTTAGTTAGCTACTGGATGAATACATTAGACATATTTGGGTTTTAGTTGGGTTTTTACATAGCTTGCATTTTAATTCTTTGGTTCTTTGCTGTTTCTATTAACCCATAGCATTATTTTAATAAATGTTATAATACCAACCTACTAACTCTGGACTATGTCTGTTTATTAACCATTACATGTGTAATTAAGATAAACAAGTAAAGACGGAAGAATGTAAAGTCTTGAGTTACTGAACTAACCCTGAAGAACGTGACCACAGATAACACAACGTGACTTGTTTTTATGTTGTTTGTCAGCTGACATTCTGCACACTACTATTAAGTTGGCTTTGGTCATTCTGGCCTCTTACCTTGGGGAATAGGTGCCAGTAGAAATGGGAACAAAGTAGCATTTTTTGAGACATTCTTGTAGAGTCTTGCCACTTTGCCTTTCAGCATCTGCATTACTAATTCCACACTTTCTTTTTCTTTCTCTAAAATAATTACTGTCGGCTCACAGCAAAAGAGCAAAGATGCCAGTACATTGGTAAATCATGACTGTGTACAGAAACCAGTTTGATTCTTTGTTGAACCATTCAGAGGTTGCAGTTAATCTCACAGTAATTCGTGATTTGTTGGTTTTGGCACCTGATTCACTGTTGCACCATGTGATGTTTCTAAGCACAAAATACTTCTGGATAGAACTGTTGTACATTGAAATACAAAATCTGGGGGTTTTCCTTGCCAAAAGTGCCTTATTTTCTTCATGCCACACTATTTTCATGTAACATTTTTTTTTTTTCTGCTATAGTCTGTCAGTACTGCCTAGCTCAGGGGAGAACAATATGTAAGCCAAAGGTCAAACTGGATCTTTTCCTAGTGACTGCAGAAAGTACAAAAATACACCTTTCATTAAATTACCAAGCAACAGCCATTTCAAATTCCAGGGCTGCCTTTATGTGATCTTCATCCCTGTGGATGACTTGAGCAAAACGAATGCAGAGGATTTAAATGGTGGAAATGCTGTTTTGTATGTACATCTATGCAAATATTTTTATGGAAACATTTCCCTTTCTTAGAACTTAAGCTGTCTGAAGCTCCTTTACATTTCCCAGGTAGTTCTCCTAGATTTGTAATCTTAAATTGAGATTATTACACCTAATGTTGAGGGAGATCCTCACTGTAGATAACTTTTCCAATGTCAACAGTGTTCGTGAAATCTGATTTTTTTTTTCCTGTAGATCTTAAAAATTCAGATGAGGAGGCTGAATCCGTTCACATCCCTCTTTTAATTTATGATGTTTCAAACTATTTATCTTGAAATCCATACAGTATAAAACTTGAGTGTTAAAGAGTTCTCACAGTATTGGTAGTAATTAAAATAGAATGCATCTTTATTTTATAGTGAAGAATAGTCTAGCTTTGATAGTGTTTGTTTTCTAATG